GCCCATCCTCACCCTTCTGCCCCCAACCCTCAACTCCTTTTACCCCCAATATGATTTTCCCAATAAAAAAAACCCAAACAAACAAACAAACACAAAATTGGGAAGGGTATACATCAGGGATGTGTCCTATCTCCATATCTTTTAAACTTATATGTGAAACAGATTATCTGGGAGGCTGGGCAGTATGAAGAGAAGTGTGGCATCAGGATTGGTGGAAGATTCATCAATAATCTGCATTGTGAAGATGACGCAATGCTGCTTGCTGAAACTGAGGAGGACCTGAAATGCTTGCTGAAAAGGGACAAGGACTGCAGTCTTCAATATAGATTGAGGCTCAATATCAAGAAGACAAAGATTCTCACCACTCGGACAATTGGCAGCATCAGGATGGATGGTGAAGAGATTGAGATTGTTCACAGCTTTAGTTTGCTTGGCTCCACAGTCAACACTCTTGGAACCAGAAGCCAGGAAATTAAAAGGCATATTGCCATGGGAAAGTCTGCTGTTAGGGACCTCTCCAAAGTACTGAAGATCAGTAGTGTCACTCTGGAGACTAAGGTGCGCCTCTTACAGGCCATGGTCTTTGCAATCACTTGCTATGCATCAGAGAGCTAGACAATGACTAGGGAGGATAGAAGGGGAATTGATGCCTTTGAGCTGTGGGGCTGGAGAATAGTATTGAATATACCATGGACTGCTAAGAAAATTAACAGATTTACCCTGGAGAGTGTTAAACCAGGCTGCTCCTTGGAGGCAAGGATTCTGAAGCTTTGTCTGACATACTTTGGACATGTTGCAAGGAGGGACCAATCCTTGGAGTAGGACATCGTGTTTGGGAGGGTGGAAGGACAGCACAGGAGGTGAAGACCATCTATGAGGCGAATTGGTTAGTTTGGGTAGGTGTGTTGGAAACAATGAGATTGGCACAGGACAGAGCAGGGTTTAGGGTTGTTGTACATAGTGCTGCTAAGAGTCACAGTTGACTCAGTGCCATACCACAACAATGAAGTTCAGAAGAGAGAATGATTTGCCTAAAGCTAGTGCCATCTCATAAATAATAATTCAAGAATCAGAGAAATAATCAGTAAATGCATATTCCTAGCTCAGTGTACTTCTCACTAGCTAATAAAAAAAAACTTGTTGATCTCAGCAAAGAGAGGGAAAAAACCAGCCCTCTTATTTCTGTGGAGTCAGAATCAACTTCTTCTAGCTGATCCTCAAGCAAATTTATGAGAGGCTGTGAATCACAGAGGAAGAAAATGCTTATCTTGCTCCATTGAGCTGCTGATGGATTCTACCTGCGAGAGAGGTGCCACCTATGGGTTAGCAATGCAACTCCCTACATAATACGCCACTAGAGCTTTCTAAATAGTTTGCTCCAGGGATTTAAAAATACTCCTATGATAATCCATGAAGAACCACTTATTAAGTTTCTCCATCTTGACAGTCTCGGCGTTTTTGACCAGGTAATTCTTTGTTGTGAGGGTCTGCCCTGCATATAGGGCATATAGTAAGCAACATCTTTGACTTCTCTGTACCCTTGCAGCAACCAGAAATAATATCCCTTGGGGGACAAAAATCATCCCAGTTGAGAACCACTCAAATTAATATATAGATAAGTTGAGGATAAAATTGTTAATATTTTTAAAATATTAACACTGATCATTACTATGACTTTGCAAAAAGATATTTTATTCATCATAGTTGGGCAAAGATTTTGATATTTTTCATTTCCTGCCATAAAAGTCTACTGTAAAATTCTGTACTTACCTTTCTTAACTCATCAGAAATAAGAAAAGGATCACAAAAAGAATCTAAACACTTAACAATATGTCCACTGTCTCGTACAATATCTTCATCATATAACCGATTAAAGAACCCCATTGAAAGCTGTGTGCAAGGGACATTTACAGCTTCAATTTTTTCCACTTCGGTTCCTGAAGAAAAAAAAATCTTATAAGCAATAGACCAAAAAAATAAATATTCTCAATTATTTCTAAAACATCACAAGTAGAGATTCTAAAAAGAAATGAAATAGGTCATGTTTTGATGTATTTAAAAGAAACAACAGATTTTACTAAATTCTTATTTTGAACCTAGTTAATTTTTAGTAATCACTAAAACTTTTGAACAAAATCTCATTATTTCAGGACTTGATCAAGGGAATATATTAATTAGAGAATGCTTACAAATGAAATAGACTTTTGTGTGTGTGTGTAGCAGGGGGTTTTTAGCAGTTTTCTGCATATATCTCTAATCTCAAAAATTATATCTAATTGCATAGGAATTACTTTATATTACCGAATTTACATAATCCTTAACATTTTCCACTTCTCTATTATGAAAGCAGTATTAATGTACATAATAATTTTCTGAAGTTTTGAAGGTATCTTGAAAAGTTTTTTCCCATTCAACAATTTCCCTGTGTGACCTCATTTACATTGTTTATTACAAAAATGCTGTTCAAGTCACAAAAGATGGCTTAAATAAGGCACTTACCAAATTATCACAAGTTCCAGGTTAGAACTTAGACTCAAAATCTCATTCCCAAACCTTATACTTGTCGTGTAAATATGTCTTTTAGACATGTCTTTTCTGTTACTGTTGTTGTTATGTGCTACTGAGTCAAAATTAACCTTCCAGGGTTTTAAAGAGGCTGTAAATCACATTAGGGGAGACTGCTCATCTTTATCCCAAAGAACAGCTTGTGGGTTTGATCTGCTTGCTGTTGTGTTGGCAGTGCAACTCTTTACCCACTATGACATCAGAGCTCTAGAAACCAAAAAACCATACCCATTGTCATTGAGACAATTCTGATTCAGCTCTCCTGTAGGACAGAGTTGAACTAACGACTCCATAGGGTTTTTAAGGCTGTAAATCTTTACTGAAAAAGCCTCTCAATTATCTTTCTTGGAGCAGCTGGTAGATTTGAACCTTTATAGACTTTTTGGTGATGAGTTAAATAACTTAATTCCAGAGCCAGCAGAGCTCCTTGTTCTGTGATTGTAAGTTTTATTAAATTAGAAAAAGATGTAAAAATACAAATTTTTTAAATTATTACTCCTAGAGAGAATTTCTTATGTGCAAGAAATGCATAAACACATTTATTCAGAGATTAAGTAGTTTTAAAAAAATTAACAATCACTGGAACTCTAATGCACAGCTGGTGGGACAATAAAATTGTACAACCACTATGGAAGGCAGTTTGGCATTTCCTTAAAAGCTGAACATAGAGATCTCACATGACACAACAATTATACTTGGAATATATCCCAAGGAAATCAGAACTGAGACAAGAATGGGGATATTTACACCTGTTTTCATAGAAGCATTATTCTCAATATCAAGAAAATGGAAACTGCCCCTCAACAAACAAATGGATTGAGAAATTGTGGTACATCCACATAAGGGAATACTATGAATCTCTAAGGAATAACAAATTGGTAAAATACTATTAAAATGGGAGAGTCCAGAGACTGAAATAACCCAGTCATTTATGGACAAATACTCTATAAAACTGCTATTGTGAAAATATGAGGATAACTGAACAAGATATGTATAAATACTCAAAAGGGGAAAAGATAGATGTCGGAAGAAACTCTGAATATTGCACTAGAGCGCTGAGAGGCTAAAGCAAAGGGAAGAAATCAAAATGTTACAGAGAGAAGCATCTAGTTAGAAAAAGAAAGTATCAGGTGCCTTATGGGCTCTCTTGTTTCAAGCTCTAGGGAAATTGCACAATCAGGCATGGTGGCCCTAGGTTAAGTCCTCTCGTTGGATATGTCTGTTAGTCTATGAACTGAGAGTAGACAGAATTTAAGAACAGCAAGGAATAGTGGCAATTGTTTTGTGTTTTCCCCTTCTGACTGTCCTGTCCACTTGGAGTCCTTCTAGTTCTATGTTCTAATTCTGAGCTGTGTTTACCTAAAGGCAGGAAGGATTACTTACACAAACCAGAAATTATAAGTGAAACATCTCAAAGTCAATGCTTTTGAGATTGCCTATCTTCCTCCCCCAGAGCTGCTAGCAGATTTAAACTACTAGAGATATGTGGCCTGTTAGTTGGCAATGCAGCTTACTACATACTAGACCACCACAGTTCCCTAGAAAGTGTATGTTGTGGTGTTACATGCAGTTGAGTTGGGACAAAATCATAGCTGAATCTCTAGCGGGTTTTCAGAAGTAATAAATCTTATGAGAGGAGATTGCTCATCTTTGTCCTGTAGAGCAGCTGGTGGATACAAACATAGTGCCTTTGGGTCACTAGTGCAACCTCTAACCACTAGGTCACCATAGCTCCCTCATATGTTTCAGTAATTTAGAAAGTTATGATAGTTACAGAGGCAATGTCCTCTACAGCAACAGTTGTTTTAAAGGGCTGACAAGTCGAGTATGACTCATAGTGACTAAGTAAAACAGGTATAAACTTTGTCTTATCCTGTGCCTCCCTTACAGTCTTGACACAATTGTCCCATAGCTGCAGTCACTATTTTACTCTATCTCATTGGGGGTCTTCTTCTCTTTTGCTGACGCTCCACCTCTCCAAACATGGTATCTCTTTTCAAGGAATAGCTTCTCCTAGCAACATGCCAAAGTTTGCAAGATGAAGCTTTGCCATCTTTGCCTTCAAGAAGGGCACTGGCTTACACTTTTCCTAAGATATTTGTTGTTTTGGCAGTCCATGGAATATTCAGTACTCTTCGCCAATACCAAAGCTCAAAGGTATCAATTCTTCTTCTATTTTCCTTATTCACTGCTGAACTTTCAGATGCATACCAAGTGCTTGAAAAGACCATGGCGTGAAGTGGATGCACTTTATTCTTCAAATTCACATTCATTCCTACTCAGTAATTTGGAGTTCCTGAGAGCAGACCTGCCCAATGCAATACATCCTCTGATCTCCTTATTGCTGGTACCAAGGATGGTGACTGTGTACCAAGTAAGATGAAACTGTTGACAACTTCTATCTTTTCTCTGTCTATCCTGATGTTGTTTATTGGTCCAGTGGTGATGATATTTGTGCTCTTGATGTGGAGATGCAATCCATACTGAAGGCTGCAATCTTTGATTTTCTAAGCAAATGTTTAAAATCATCTTCACTTTCAGCAAGGATGTGTTATCTGCATAACACAGGTTGTTGATGACTCTTCCTCAGATCCTGATGCTATATTCTTCATCAAGTCTAGCTTCTTGAATGATTCAACATACAGACTGAATAGGTATGGAGAAAGGATACAATCCTGATGCATGACTTTCTTGATTTTAAACCATGCGGTGTTCCCTTGCTGTTTGGATAATAACTTCTTAATCAAGCTTTCTTATGAAATTATAAGGATTACATAAAGTGAAAACTAACCATTTAAAATTATAAAGTTGTTATTATGTGCCATCAAGTCAACTATGACAGTGGTTCTGAACCTTGCCCTATTCTGAGCCAACACACCTAAACCTACTTCTACAGTAACTATGTCAATATATCTCACTGAAGATCTTCCTCTTCTACACTGGCCCTCTCCCCTTTCATGTATGATGTCCTTATCCAAGGAATGATACCTCCTGGCAATATGCCCAAGTATGTGAGACAGAGTTTTAAAATCCTTGCCTCCAAGAAGCAACCTGGTTTCACCCTCTCCAGGGCAGACATGTTTGTTCTTTTGGCAGTCTTGAATATGTTCAATACTCTTCTCTAGCATGCCAACTCAAAGGCATCAATTCTTCTTTTGTCATCCTTAGTCAGTCATCCTCAGTCCAGCTCTCAGATGAATAACAAGCAAATGAGAAGGCCATGGCCTGGATCAGACACACCTTAGTCTCTAGACTGGTCTCCTTTGCTCTTCAACACTACAGAGTGATCTCTGACAACAGATTTTCCTAATGCAACTTATATTTTGATCCTCTGACTGCTGGTACCAAGAATGTAGACTGTGGATCTAAGCAAGATGAAATCATTAACAACCTCAATCCTTTCTCCATCTATCACGATACTATTGGCCTGGTAGCAAGGATCTTTGTTTTCTTGTTGCTGAGACGCAATCCATAATGAAGGCTGCAGTCTCTGACCTTCTGCAGCAAACACTTCAAGTCTTCCTCAGTTTCAGTTAGCAAGGTTGTGTCATCTGCACAAAGCTGGTTGTTGATGAGTCTTCTGCCAATCCTGATGCCACATTCTTCTTCATAAAGTCCAGCCTCCCAAATTAACTGTTCTAATATAAACTGACAAGGTATGGAGAAAGGATACACCCCTGATGCACTACTTTCTTGATTTTCAACCATGCAGTATTTCCTTGCTTTGTTTAGACAACAACAGCTTCTGGTCTAGATCTAGATTTTGCATGAGCATAATCAGGTGATTTGGGATTCCCATTCTTCTCAAAGTTAGCCACAATTTGTTGTGATCCACATAGTCAAATACCTTTGCGTAGTTGATAACACACAACTCTCTACTTTCATCCATGATCCATCTAACATCAGCAATGATATTCCTATGCCATGGCCTCTTCTAAAGTGAGCTTATATTTCTGGAAGTTCTCTGTCAGTAACTAGCTAGTTTGGGATAATCTTGAACAAGATTGTGCTTGCATGTGATATTAGTGATATTTGATTATTTCCATGTTCTTTAGTTTCTTCAGCTTGAGAAATGCTGAATGAGTTCTTCCCTTTGGGTTTTCTAACTCCAGCTCTTTGCAAATTTCATTATAATATTTCACTTTGTCTTCATGATCTGCCCTTTGAAATCTCCTGCTCAGCTTCCTCTTTCCTTCCCTTTGTTTTGGCTTTCCAGTGGTCTAGTGCAATATCAGAGTCTCTTCTGATACTCATCTTGGTCTTTTTTTCCTTTTCTGTTTCTGCATTGATCTTTTGCATTCTTTATGGGTGAAATTCTTGGTATCATCCCAGAGATTATCTGGTTACGATTCTGAGTAATGTTCAAAGTCCA